GGGCCAAGGAATAGCTCTTGTTCCTTTTAACCAGGTACCCAGAAATGCCAGTCCTGTAGAAGGCACTGGCCTGACTGCTGTCTAATCATTATAGCCTCAGTAGGTAATTTGCAAATCTCAGATGGTGCCAAGCTCCCTGTTTGAGACTAAGGAGACCTTCGAAGATGGAGAACATGGGTTCTAGACCATCCCGTTTAACAGACATTAAGTAGCTGTCCTAGAGTGGACATGGGGTTTAGCCCCTGAAGATACAGAGGTGACAAGACAGAGCTCCTGCCTAAAGAAACTTGCTCTGCCTAGCAGAAAGGACCCAGCCCTGAAGCAGATAATCTCACAAACAGACTGCTGGGTGGTTCTTCCTATTTTATCCAGCCCCTATAAGGGCTGTTGCTGCCAGAGCCTATGAATGAGACCAGAATTGAGAAGCAAAGCCTAGGGGTTGAGATATATATATATATATATATATATATATATATATATATATATATATATATCTAAAATATATATATATATATATAAAACATATACATAAACATATATATACAACTTCCCCAGAACATACTGTCCTGTTCATTCTTATCTGAATACTCAGCCGTTTGTAGGCACCTTCATTAGAGGCTTGATTCTCCCTCCCCACACCTTTACCACCACCAAAGCTTGGCCTGCCTTCCCTCCCACAGCCTCTGGTGCTCATAGCACCCTGGCCTCCACCTTTCAGATTCGGGTGCCTGGCTGTGTGTAATGACTTTTGAGACCTGTGGGACTCTCCAGCAGCAGCACCAGCCTCAGGACTGGTCAAGAGAATTCAGAAAGGAAGAATTCCTAAGACAGAGTCTTTATCTTTTATCTGGCCTCTGAGCCAGCAGGACAGGTTTGTGCAAGTTTCCCTATTAAGCTGCTTTCCCTCAAGCAGGCTGCATTGCAGTCTGGGAGAGCGGGAAAGTAGATTAAATTAATCTCAGCATGCTGGGCTTGGCAGGGGGTTAGATTGTGTTTGGTCATTCCAGAAATAGCCCAAGCTCCTTTGTTCCTAACGCAGATGAGGAGGCCTTGGCCTCCAAGATGACTGCAAACCTTTGTATATTCATAAAACGCCCTCCCTCTGTCCCCTGGCTTCTGTCTCTTCTGCAACCTGCCCTAGAGTTATAACGGAGAGTGATCGATTCTGACGTTAGGGTAAAAGGATTTATTTGTTTGTTCTCCTGCTTAATAAGATCCTTTTTTTAAAAAACTTAGATTCCAAGAAGTCTTTGCTTCCCGGAGTTAAGCATCGGCCCTGTCAACTCTGAGCTACTGAATGTATCTGTTCACTACTGAATTTGGCATGAGGAAAGAATCTGACCTCAAGAGTTATGCCCGTGCCGCCCTGTCTTGCAGTGCCCCGACGCACATTAATAGACACCGCTCTGAGAGACAGGAGGGAAGGGGGGTCAGGGGGAAGGAGAAGAATGGAGCCAGGATACAGAGATCCCATAAAAGGAGACAAGATATCAGAAGCAGTTTGGTGATGAATATCCATGAAAAGCCAGAGGTGGGAGTGGTCCCAGAATTCAGGGAGAATGGATTAATTCCACTGAGGTATTTGAAACTAAAACAAGGGAGTCACTTATGCCCCTTCTGTGCTCTCAGTCAGGAATGTGACCATGTGTAAAAGAAACACAAGGGAAATCGTACCAACCCAGTCTCTTAGATCAATGCACTTGATTTTTTATGTTAGTATTGACCGGGTCCCTGACTTGAAAAGACGTAAACAGGACACGTAGGATGATGATGGAACTTGGAGCCTTTTGTGCAAGGAATAGTTGAAGCAGCAGAGGGAGCGTGGCCTAGAGGAAAGATACACTGTGGTGGTGAGTGCCGTGCTCTCCGACACCAAGAGCAGTTTGTGAGCATTTCCTAGTGCGCTAGCACAGCTCTGCTGGTGGTTACCTCACATGGTCTGCAGAGCCACCCAACACTGTAGGGCAGGTATTGTAATTGTCCTTATTTTACAACTAGTTAAACCGAGGCTCAGAGTCGAGGACTTGCCCCTAATTCACTTGAGTGATAAAGACCAGTCTCTAAGCCCGTGTTTTTGCCCATTATACAAAGATGATTAACCTTGTTCTGCGTGGTCTTAAGGAACAGAACCAGGATGGGTGGGCAGAAATTAACAGGAGATAGGTTTTTGGCTCATAGTAAAGAAGAACTTTTTAATTGAACTGTCCACAGAGGGAACTACTCCAGAAGGTAGTAAGTTCCTTTGTCATTGGAGGTATTCCAACAAATGCCCAGAAATCACTGGGTGGTAGTATTATAGAGAAGGTTCCAGCATTGGTAAGGGATTGAACCAGGCATTTCAATCTTGTGATTCTGTAATCTGTAGTTCATTAGAGAAATCGGGATATTTTACCAGAAGGAAATAAGCACCATGTAAAAATAAAATGTTAACTGATATATTCGGTTTTTTATATATATATATTTATTTTATTTTCTTATTTAATTTTTTTATTGTTATATATATATTTTTAAAGATTTTATTTATTTATTAGAGAGCATGAGCAGGGGGGAAGGGTAGAGGGAGAAGCAGACTCCCCACCGAGCAAGGAGCCGAACGCGGGGCTCGATCCCAGGACCCTGAGATCATGACCTGAGCCGAAGGCAGATGCTTAACCGACTGAGCCACCCAGGCGCCCCTTGGTTTTATATCTTAACAACATTTATTTATCATTTTAAGTAAAATATATATTTCTTTGCATATTTAAAATATTAAATAAAAGAAAACATAACCATGTAAATGCAGGCTTAAGTGTTTAAAATTTAAAAGCAGAGAAATTTAATTTGATTGATTCAGTTTGATTGACTCAGTCCTGCTAGTTATTCATGGACAGTTAAGGAAAGATTTTTTTGTTGTTGCCAAACACCTTTATAATTTAGAAAGACTAATTCCAAAGGGGAAGATTTCCATCTCTACAGTAAAGTCAAAGCTGTCAAAAATTTTTTTCCAAATGACTATGAACACTGAAGGGAATCTTTCTAACTTGCCGGTGTGACTCTGTCTCAAACAAAAACTAAGTTAAAGCAGTCTCATCATTCATATTTCTTGGATGACTCCTGCTCAGCTCTGAAATTATCGTTGCAATGCAGAAGTCTGAAGATTGACAGCATGGGTCACAGTACATTCTTTTTCATCAAACAAGATTTATTCTGGTTTGGGTGCCTGGATGGCTCAGTCGGTTAAGCGACTGCCTTCGGCTCAGGTCATGATCCTGGAGTCCTGGGATGGAGTCCCGCATCGGGCTCCCTGCTCAGCCGGGAGTCTGCTTCTCCCTCTGACCCTCTTCCCTCTTGTGCTCTCTCTCTCTCATTCTCTCTCTCAAATAAATAAATAAAATCTTAAAAAAAAAAAAGATTTATTCTGGTTTATCAAGCACTAGGACTGCTAGTAAGAAGACGAACCAGTTATAACCTTTTCTAAAATGAATTTATTGTTATTTCTCCATGCTCCATATCAGACACTGAATTTCTGTTCCTTGGTGGGATTTTCCATTTTTAACAGGAAATAAGAGCATCGACAAAAAAAAGTCTTGTGCAAAAATCACTTAACTAAGGTACTAAAATCATTTTTCAAGTATATAACACACACAGGGTTATACTTAATATTAATAGGCTTGTTGCAATAAAGAAATGGCTTTTTCTTTCTCTTTTTTCTTTTTTAGGAAGTTCCAGGTTACAGGCAACTTCAGCTCCCACAGTTGGTGGTGGTAGAGAATGGTCTCGGAAAGGGGCAGGGAGGGGGTGGCAAAAGTGAGGTAAAGAAGTTTCGTGCCTCTAAAGCATGGAGCAGCTCAGGAGAGGGGCCGGCCAAGTGGAGAAGAGGAGGTTCCCTGTGGTGTGGTCTGGATAGGCACCTCAGCACACTTGTTTTTTTTGTTTTTTGGGGTTGTTTTTTTAAGATTTTATTTATTTATTTGAGAGAGAGAGCGTGCACACACACACACACACACACACACACGTGTCGGGGGAGGAGCAGAGGGAAAGAATCTCAAGCAGACGCCCTGCTGAGCTTGGAGCCCGACCTGGGGCTCGATCCCATGACCCCAAGATCATGACCTGAGCTGAAATCAAAAGTGCACGCTCAACCGACTGAGCCACCTAGGCGCCCCTCAGCACATTTTTTAGAGCACTCTGTCAGGTCCTTCAGAGGAAGGCCCACGGTGGGTGGGGGCGGGAGGGGGGAACCTCAGAAGGGTTGTCCACAGAGGGAAGGACTCTGGTTGGCTGAGGACCAGATTGTGTGGAGCTGAGAGCAGGGCAAGGGGCTGGATCAAGAGCACGGGGCCGGCAGAAGCAGCATAGAGCCCCACAGCCTCGGCGACCTTCCTGGGGGAGAAATTGAATGCGTGTATATCTCAGCACGTGACCTCAGATAACCAGCCTCTGGAAAGCACTGTGTTCACTTGGGGCCCAGCCCTCTTGTTCCCTTTGTGTTCATCTCTGGGGTTCAGTACTTTGACATTTCACAGGATGCTTAAAATCAAATCCTTCTCCATGGACCTTCATAGAAGGTGTAACCTCTCTCCCCCAAAAAACCCCATCATACCCCAAGCCCCCATACCTAGTGCAGCTTTTCGTCCTGGTTGTAGAGATCACCTTAAGTACGTTTTCTCCTTTGAACTGAAGATGACCTTGTTTGTCCAGGTCAATATTGACCAAGGTCTTAACTCCCCAAAGAGAATTCTTGTCTGACTTGGTTGTACTGTTCTTAGCACAGTTGGGAAATTAAGAAATGCTGCTTTAGCTGCCTCATTGCAAGAGCTGACTATAGTCACACTTGGTGGCTTGTCCATCGACCCTACCACTTTTAAATAGGTCATTGAGGGGAGGGGACTGCTTGGTTTGCATTGTCGTTTGGCTCCATGGAAAAAGCCAGGCACATGCTGAGTCCCTGCTCTCCTTCTGCTGTTCTGGACCTGGTTCTGACCTTCCCTGCTTGTGTTTTCCTACTCTCCCTTGTACAGAGACAGGGCAGGGCATTGTTCATGCACTGACCGACCTCAGCAGCCCCGGCATGACCTCAGGGAACGGAAATTCTGCCTCCAGCATCACCGGCACTGCCCCCCAGAATGGTGAGAATAAACCACCACAGGCCATTGTGAAACCCCAAATCCTGACGCATGTTATCGAAGGGTTTGTGATCCAGGAGGGGGCGGAGCCTTTCCCGGTACGGACTACTTCTTTTCCCCTCTTTTTTTTTTGTTTTGTTTTGTTTTGGTTTTTTTTTTTTTAAGTATATTTTGGATGTGTATTAGAATATTTTTACATTTCCATGTAAAATTTCCAAAAATGTAAACAGTTTGCTCTTTCCTTGCTAATTTTCCCCCAAAAGAATGTCAGAGCCATTTTCTTTCTAGGATTGAGTGCCTTCCTATGGTCCAGAAAGGATCAGTGATTAGGAATAATTGGCAAGGCCCCTTGGTTAGAAGGGTCCACACACAGACCCAGCTGTGTCCCTGCCTCGTGTTGTGTGACACCCCCCCCCTTAGTTAGAAAGGAGTTCACATTGGGGTGTTTGGGGCAAGATGGTGGGTTTTGGAAAATGAGACCTCATTCAGTTTTGAATGCCAGGACCGCTGAGTGGCAAAACTTTAACCAGTTAGAGAACAAAAGGAAAATGTGTAGAATAGAATTTTTAAGATGTGTCTGAAATGAAGATAAGAGAACAGGGTTGTAGCCTCGGCTGCTTTTCTGGGATTAGAGTCTTGAAAAGAGTGAATGCAAGTGAGGATTGTGCCCTTTCTTCAGAAAGGGCACAATCAAATGTCTCCATGGAAAGCATAAGACCAAAGGGAAATATAAAAGAATCAAGAAAATGGCTTATTAGAACAAAGCACCCCAAGCTGATTCCATGCAGTGTGAGTTGGTGAGGACAGGGGGCGCTGCTCTATGGGTGGGAGGAGCCCAGAGCCAGGTAAACAACTGCCTCTCCCGGGATGAAATTATCTGGCTGTGAGAGAATACCATCTTCATGGGACGCCATCTGCCTTTTGTTCATTCTTTGGGTCCGTGAGTGGTTTGAATAGTCAGTGGAAGACTCTAAGCTTGACGAACTGAGCTGGGTGAACTGCCCTTCTAAAATGCCAGAAGACAAATAGGTTCTTGTCACTTTCCCTCTGCAGGTGGTGCAAGGCCCATGGCAGAGAAATCCCCCTGGAGCACCTTAGCTATCAGTCAGTAGCTCCGCCCTGCCACATCCCCTCCCTCATTAGACTACGTCTTCAGCTTGGCCTCCTAGAGAAACACCAGAAACCAACCCATCTCACAGGGTGGATACAGACTTGAGTAACAGCCCCAGCATCACCCTAGAGATCTAGCCACCAGCCCGCCCGAACAGAGGCAACAAAGGAAGGACCGGAAGAGTGAATAAGCCAGTCTAGGATCCTGGCAACCACAGAAGGCATTTGCTTTGTGGCCCAGAGTCCCATTTTCCTGCGCTCCTCCACGGCCGCCTGCCCCTCTGGCTGGGGTAGACCAGCGATATGGTGGAGGACAGTAGGAAACCACAATAGGGTTGCTGAGTCTCTTCTGCCCCCCATGCACGCACACACGGGGCCTGAGCTGTATTCCTGCTGGTGACGCGTGAGCCCCGGGTCCTAGCAGTTCTGGTGCTGTGGGAAACCTGATTGCTGCCTCTATCTCTGCCCCTTAGTCACTTGGAAGAGTAGGTATTTTCCTAACTTCCCAAGCCGTCCATTGGTCCTGGATTGAAGCCATTGCTGCACTTTGGTGACAGTTGGCATCTTGCCTCATGAGCTACACGGCAAAATAGGGCCTTGAGCAAGACACACTTGAATGATGTAGAGCCCAGCGTCTGTGCCTAGCTGCGTTCTATATGTAATTTTGATGAGGCTGGAGAGCAAGGAAGCACCTCCCACCTAACCCTCATGGCATCCGTGTCCCACCTTGTCCTCTAGGTGGGACGCTCGTCCCTGCTGGTGGGGAATCTCAAGAAGAAGTATGCACAGGGGTTCTTGCCTGAGAAACTTCCACAGCAGGATCATACCACCACCACTGACTCTGAGATGGAGGAGCCCTATCTGCAAGGTAGGTGTCCCCGCACCCCGCCCAGCACGAAGGCCTTCTGATCTGATCTGGCCCACCTGACCAGGGGCAGAAGGGGCTGCAAAAGCCGGCCATACACACTTCCTGTCATGGTATCCGTGGATGGACATGTCCGTCTACTAAACATTCCTCCCAGTCCCTTCTCAGCCGCTGTCCCTAGAAAACAGGAAAGGGGGAAAGTCACTGCCCTTGGAGAGCTGTTTGTCCCCTGCCTCTCCTGCAGCCCCACACCAGCCAGCCACGGGATTCCAAGAGTTGCTTTTCCTTTGGAAGTCATTGGCAAGAGGTGGGAGTGCCACGGGCCAGGGTGTCCTCCCCTCGGGCCTCAGGGGCTGGCCCTCGGGCAGCACCATGGCCCCGCAAGGACTCTACACTTGCAGCCTGAGCCATTGACTGGGTGGGGGCTGTGGAGGTTACAGAACTCCTGGGTTCTGGGATCTAGGTCCACAGCAAACTAGACAGATCGAGGTAGGGTAGAACAATTCCAGATCAGTTGTGAGAGCACCCAGAGTATTCCCTGTGAGCCTGCCAGTCTCTTCCAGGGTCATAAAGAGGGATGCTGATTCTTTTACCACCTGTGTTTGCCTCAGGCTCATAGCACTTGGGGAAAAAAATCTGTCAGGTGTCATCACCAAACACCCCTGGGTACTTTTCCGGGTGGGGGAAGCTTTTCAGCCCTTCCCATACCAGTGGCGAAAGCAGTTGGGCGTTTTCCAAGTTAGTCCCCCACTGCGTGTCACAGCTACGGGGACGTGAGCAGGGAAGGCAGGCCTCTTGGGGGGCTGTCAAGGGTCTTGTGGGAATTGCTCCTCTTTACATTTACTCTAGTTTCCATACTTTCCAGAATCCAAAGAGGAGGGTACTCCCCTCAAGCTCAAGTGTGAGCTCTGTGGCCGGGTGGACTTTGCCTACAAGTTCAAGCGTTCCAAGCGCTTCTGTTCCATGGCATGTGCAAAGAGGTGAGTGGCCTCAGCCCCACGGCTGTACCACCCCCTCCCTCTCAGGATTGCACCTCGGGTCCTACCCCACCCTTCAGTGATTGTCTGACCCGGGAGCCCCTGGGTGCAGCTTAGCTGCATTCCATCTCCTCCACCTGCCTAGGAGCAGTGCCGTGTCACTAGTCTGCCAGGTACTGGAACCCAGAACTCGAGTGAGCAGCCCCGGGTCCAAGGAAAGGAGGCAGTGCATTAGCTTGGCTGTCCCTCCTGGGGCCCTACTGAACCCATACTCTGTTCCTGCCCTTGGCAGCTACTGCCCCTTAGGGGAAGCCCTCCACCAGAAGCTTTGCCCAGAGCCCCTGTACTAGTTACGGTTGCTCCATCTGTGAGCTTTCACCCAGCATAGGCCAGTGACCCTGGTCAGGCACAGCGTTGGGTACTGAGTGCCGGCCACGTGCTAGGCTCTGCACTAGGCAGGTGGGGTGCGCGGTATCATCTAGTTTTCAGAGTAACCGCGAGGGCAGGGATTGCCGCTGGCCCCTTCACACCCACTAGGAAACTGAGGCACAAAGGGTAAGTACCTGTGCCCAGTGTCCTAGAGTTGGGGAGTTGGACTCATCTGCCTCTAAAGCCCTGCGTGGTCTTCATACCACAGCGGAAGCAGGAAGCCCTGAGCCCTCAAAAGAATAGCAATCTCTAGCCCCCTACGCAGAGGTGCTCTGCATGCCGGCTGGAATAAGGCTCCCCTCGGCCCTGTGCTGGAGGTCAGCAGCCCTCGTTTTATTGGGCTTCGCAGATACTGCGTTTTTTACAGATTGAAGTTGTCGGGCCAGTCTGTCAGCACCAGTTTTCCAACAGCGTTAGCTCATTTTGAGTCTCTCTGTCACATTTTGGTAATTTTCGTAACATTTCAGACTTTTTCATTATTATATTGTGTGATCTGTGATCAGTGGCCTTCGATGTTACTAGAGTAATTATTATTGGGGTGCCACGAATTGCACCCACGTAAGATGGTCAGTGTCATCTGTGTTCTGACTGCTCCACCAGTGGACTCTTCCCCCGTCTCTCTCCCTCTCCTCCAGCCTCTCTTTTCCTGGAGACACAACAGTACTGGAAATTAGGCCCATTCGCCTGGGTGGCTCAGTCATTAAGCATCTGCCTTCAGCCAGGTCATGATCCCGGGGTCCTGGGATCAAGCCCCACATCGGGCTCCCTGCTCAGCGGGAAGCCTGCTTCTCCCTCTCCCACTCTCCCTGCTTGTGTGTTCCCTCTCTCGCCGTGTCTCTCTCTGCCAAATAAATAAATAAAATCTTTAAGAAAGAAAGAAAGAAATTAGGCCCATTATTAACCCTACAGTGACCTCTGAGTGTTCAAGTGAAAGAAGTGTGGTGTGTCTCTCACTTTAAATCAAAAGCTAGAAATGATTAGGCTTCGTGAGAAACACTGTGGAAAGCTGAGACAGCCTGAAAAGCCAGGCCTCTTGCACCAGACCGCCAAGTTGTGAATGCAAAGGAAAAGTTCTTGAAGGAAATTAAAAGTGCTCCTCCAGCGAACACATGAGCAATAAGAAAGCAAAAACAGCCTCATTGTTGATAAGGAGAGAGTTTGGTCCGGATAGGCGATCCAACCCGCCACAACATTCCCTTGAGCCAGAGCCCAGTCCAGAGTAAGGCCTAACTCTCTTCAGTTCTTTGAAGGCCGAGAGAGGGGAGGAAGCTGCCGAAGAAAAGTCTGAAGCTAGCAGAGGTTGATCCATGGGGTTTAAGGAAAGAAGCCGTCTCGGTAGCATAGAAGTGCAAGGTGAAGCAGCCGTGCTGATGGAGAAGCCACAGCAAGTTCTCCAGAAGATCTGGCTCAGATCACTGATGAAGGTGGCTACACTAAGCAACAGATTTTCAGTGTAGATGAAACAGCTTTCTACTGGAAGAAGATGCCATCCAGGACTTTCATAGCTGGAGAGGAGAAGTCAGTGCCGGGCTTCAGAGGGACAGGCTGACTCTCTTGGTAGGGGCTAGTACAGCTGGGGACTTAGGTTGAAGCCAGTGCTCACGTCTACCATTCCAAAAATTCTAGGGCCCTTCAGAATTGTGCTAACTCTACTCTGCCTGTGGTCTGTCAGCGGAACAACAAAGCCTGGAGGGCAGCACATCCGTTATAACATGGTTTAGTAAATATTTTAAGTCCAGTGTTGAGACCTACTGCTCAGGAAAAAAAAAGTTCTTTCCGAATTTTACTGCTTACTGACAGTACACCTGGTCACCCGTGAGCTCTGATGGAGATGTGTGATGGGATTCACACTGTGTTCATGCCTGTGCACACACCATCCGTTATGCAGCCTGTGGATCAAGGAGTAATTTCAACTTTCAAGTCTTCTTAAAAAAAATGCATTTTGTAAGGTTCTGGTTGCCATAGATACAGATTCCACTGGTGGATCTGGGCAGAATCAATTAAAAACCTTCTAGAAAGGATTCACCATTCTAGATGCCATTAGGAACATTTCAGGATTCAGGGGAAGTGCTCAAAATATTAGCATTAACAGGAGTTTGGAAGAAGTTGATTCCCACCCTCGTGGATGACTGTGAGGGGTTCAAGACTTCAGGGGGGGAGTAGCTGCAGATGTGGTGGAAACAGCCAGAGAACTGGAATTAGAAGTGGAGCCTGAAGGTGGACTGAATGGCTGCAATCTCATGGTAAAACTTGAACAGATGAGAAGTTGCTTCTTAGGAATGAGCAAAAAATGCAGTTTCTTAAGGAGGAATCTCCTGGTGAAGACACTGTGAGGATTGTTGAAATGACAACAAAGGATTTAGAATATCAAACTGCGTTGATAAAGCAGCGGCAGAGTTTGAGAGGATTGACTCCAGTTTTGAAAGAAGTTCTCCTGTCGGTAAAACGCTATCGAACAGCATTGCATGCTCCAGAGAAATCATTCGTGAAAGGAAGAGTCCATCGATGCAGCCAACTTCATCATTGTTTTTTTTCTTACAATTTTTTTAAAGGATGTATTTATTTGAGAGCGCGAGCACACGTGGGTGTGCACACAAGCAGGGGGAGGGGCGGAGGGGGAGGGAGAGACGCTGACTCCCCACTGAGCACGGAACCTGTTGCAGAGCTCGGTCCCATGACCCCGAAATCATAACCTGAGCTGAAATCAAGAGTTAGAGTTTAACCGACTGAGCCACCCAGGCGCCCCCATCGTCATCTTAATAAACTCCAGTGTAGTGTAAACCTTACTTTTATATGCACCAGGAAACAAAGTCATGTGACTGGCTTTCTTGCCAGTCCGATCTGGAGCTGAAGCCGCAGTATCTCCGAGATGTACCTGTACTTCCCAGCACCACAGCGCACACTTGTTTCCTGGCATAGGTCATACTTGGTGTAGGGTGTGTCAGCCATGAGTTCTTGCCGTGATCCAAGTTGTTTTGGCCAGCACTTTGCACGTGTTAGCGCATACAGTTGTCAGAGTGGGTTTAGAAAGTGAGCGGTCTCATCCCCAGCTCCAGATGAGGAAACCGAGGCTCAGAGGTCAAGTGGCTTGCCCAGAGCTGGCCGGCTAGCAGTACCCGATGGCCTTGGGAGCAGAGCACACAGACGGACTCCGCTATTGCTGGAGAGCCTGGCTATCCTCACGCTGCGGGGGCCCGCACGGCCCGCCACTGCTCTGACTCCCGTTTCCCTGACTGCGGCAGGTACAACGTGGGGTGCACCAAACGAGTGGGGCTTTTCCACTCGGACCGGAGCAAGCTGCAGAAGGCAGGAGCCACGACCCACAACCGCCGTCGGGCCAGCAAAGCCAGCCTGCCCACACTTACGAAGGACACCAAGAAGCAGGTGAGAGGTGGGCAGGGCCCGAAGCTCCGTTGTCACAAGTCCCCACCAACTCCCCTCCCTGACGGACCCAGCACACCCACATTCCTCTTCCAAGGCTGCCTCACCTCCGCGCCATCATGTTCTCATTTCTCACGAGCCGTCAGATCAAGCCCTTCCCGGGCCCCGTAACGGGCCCCTGCGTTCAGACCCATGGATGCGTGAGAGGTGATTTCCTGCCTCAGTGACCTTGCCCCCTCCATACCCCTCCCCTCCCAGTTTGCCTCCATCCTTCTGGGGCCAGGGAAATGGGGTCTCCTCTGCCCGGCCCCGGGAAGAGACAGACTGTCCCCATTCCCTTGGGTCTTAACACAGAGGGCCAGGTGAGGAGGAAGGAAGCCTGCCCCCTTCAGCCCTGCTCCTCGCTGCCACCTCGAATCCAGAGCACGGAGTTCTTGCAGCCTCTCCCAGGAACACGGGCGTTCCTTACAGATGTTGTAGACCCCTCACGTGCCCGGAGCGCCGTGAGGCGCTGAGGCTCTAAGTTGCGCCACAGGAACCCACAGTCTTCGTGGGACGTTTCAGAGCCTGATGGTTTTGGCTGCTTGTCACTTGGGTCATAAACCTCTTGAAGAATCTTGACGAAGGCTGGGACGCAGCACGCACACGCACAGGAAATTTTCCATGCTATTTCATAGACCACCCCTGAAACCTCCAGCGTCCTGGTTTAAAACCCCACATCTAGAAGAAGGGATAGGCGTAGATAGAATCAGATGGGTGCAGTGCGGTGCAGGGAGGGGCTCGCTCTGCGTCGGGCCAGAGGGGACAGCCCAGAAGACGGGGGGCGTTTTGATCTAAGCATTCAGAGGTGTGTAGTCATAGACCAGGTGGGAGGTGGGACGACCTGCCTTCACCCATCGCCCGGCTGGAGACCCAGAGTCTGTTTGTTCCCCGATCCTGAAGCCAACGGTTTCTCTCTGCTCACAGCCGGCGGGCACCGTGCCCCTTTCGGTCACGGCTGCGTTGCAGCTGACACACAGCCAGGAGGACTCCAGCCGTTGCTCAGATAACTCAAGCTACGAGGAGCCCTTGTCGCCCCTCTCGGCCAGCTCGTCCACCTCCCGCCGGCGACAGGGCCAGCGGGACCTGGAGCTCCCGGACATGCACATGCGGGACCTGGTGGGCATGGGACACCACTTCCTGCCAAGCGAGCCCACCAAGTGGAACGTGGAAGACGTCTATGAATTCATCCGCTCCCTGCCAGGTGAGTCCCGGGAGGGGTCCCGTGCGGGACTGGAAGAGCGGCCCCTGGGAGAGAGGGACAGTCGTCCCCCCCCCCCCCCCCAGGAAATGACTCCGTTAGTGACTCAGGCTCAGGAGTCGTCATGCTGCAGTCCGCTGCACTTCCTGGCATGGCAGGGTCTGCGTGAGATGCAGGGGTGACCGTGCACCAAGCCTGTGCCTCTCCTGGGACAGGGGGCGAGGAGTCAAGTGGGAGTGTAGGAAACCAGTCAAAGAGAACCCCAGCGTAGGAAAGGGGAAGCTGCGTGACAGTGGGCAGGCAGGCCTCGGCCGGTGGGAGACGCGACCCCGGGAGCGGCTTGAGCGGAGGTGCGCAGACGCGGAAGGGTACGGTGTAGGGAACCGCACAAACCCTGTGGGGGTTGGTGGTGCGCACGTGGGTCTGAGGCCTAGAATTGAGCCGTGAACCTTGAAAGACCTACCTCACATTATTCACAGATGCTTTCAGGGGGATATCCCGCAGGCTTCTCGGCTGTTGTTTCTGGCAGTCGCCCCCAGCTGCTGGCCACGTCAGGTACGGACGGCAGCCGCAAGCCTGTTACTCAGAGACCGGAGTGGGAGCAGTGGCCGGGAGCGCAGACTTGTGTGTCAGAACTGGGCTCACATCCCTGGCTCTGCCCCTCACTGCAGCGTGTTAGTCATCTCCGGCCACGTTCCCGGAATTTTATCACCACACAGTTTTATGGTGGCTCAGGAACGTGGGAGTGGCTTGGCTGGACATTTCTGCCACAGGGTCTCTTGTGAGGTTGCGATGAAGGTGTGACCCAAGGCTTCCTTGGGGCTGTAGGATCCTGTTCTCAGGTGCTCCACGCCCCTGATTCTCAAGGAGGGTATGGCTGCCCACAGGAGGCCTCCGTTCCTCTCCACACGGGCCTCTTCAGGACACTTGCGTGTTCTTTCCCCACAGGTGGGTAATCCAGGAGAGCATGGTGGAAATTACTGTGGCCTTTTTGATCTAGACTCAGAAGCTACATGGTGTCACTTTCACAGTATCACACAGGTCATGCCCACAGGGACATGAAAGGGAAGCCAGGTTTATTTAGAGCTGGTTACCATAGTTCACCAGTCACTGGCCCCCATGATTCATGTTCCTCCCTCAAGCCGACCACCCTTGCCCCCTACCATAGACCCCACAAATCTCATCCCATTGCAGCAGTAATTCAAAGCCCAGGATCTCACCAGCAAACTCTGGTCCAGGCATGGGTGAGCTCCTCAAGCCCAGTTCCTCTCCATCTGAACACCTGAGAACTAGACACACGTTCCCCATTCCCTCCACAAACCCAGGATACGGTGGGACAGGTGTAGGATCACCGCGGTAGGCACACCTGTTCAAAAAGGAGAGCACAGTGCCGGAGGACACAGGAGTCACCCATCGTCCCAGTTCTGACACCTAGCAGGGCACGTGTTGGCATTTCCCTGGTTAGGACCCCAAGCCCGGGAGGGGTTATCTCTCCTTCTTGCTTCCACCCTGTGAAGTCCTCCTTCCTTTCCCATGAAAGGTAGCCTGAGCTTTCAGCAGACTAGTTTTCTCAGCCTGTTCCTGCTGCTCTTCATTTTCTATGACCTCGACTCTTACAGTTCAAGCAGTGTTTATGCTAGTACAATGTCTTAAAATCGTTGTGGGCTTCCGGTGCGTGCATCTTGTTGGGATTTACTCCATCAGACAAAAACCATACCCCAAAATGCTCCAAGAGAAGCCTTTCTCTATGTTGGTGTCTTCTGAAGCTGAGGGACAGTGCCCTTACTATGTTGGAAGCTCTGCTGTTGAACGGCCAGAATCCATGAGGCACGCCCGTAAAATCTGTAAGTGAGTTCTCTGAGGCAGCACGTTCGAGCTTCTGAGATCTTGGTGAAAAGACGTGTCATGCCCTCAGTTCCAGCTCTAGCCCGGGTGTTCTTACCTGTGTCCCGGGTTTGATCTTTGCCTAGAAACTGCTTCTTAGTTTTGGCATCATTTGCTATCTGGAGAGGCCAGGGATTTTCAAACGAGCAACTCCTGGCTCCTTGAGGTCTAACAGTTTCACCTTCACCTCATCTGTCCTTGCTTTCCTGTGAGCAGCGGTCAGAAGCCAGGCCGCACCTTCAGCGTTCTGCTGGAAACGTCCTCCGCCAGATGCTAGATCGCTCCGTCCGTGAGGCCCATTACACTTACCATGTTACAGCTGCTGCAGCGTTCTGACATTTTCTCCACTTCCCAGCAAGGATCCATTTCTCCCAATTTCCAGAAACCGTTGCCTTTCCCTGAAGCCTCACCCAGTCTCCTCCCAGGCCATCAGACTGCTGTCCAGCCCCTCAGAGTATCTTAGACACGTCCCTGACCCTCTCCTCAGAGTCCTTCCAGCTCCTGCCCACTGCCGCCCCCCAGGCCACGGCAGCACCCCTCTTCCAGAAGCCAGAATCTGCATTCCTTACCACAGAGTGTCGTGGTTTACCTCAGGTTCTGTGGGTCAGGAACCCTGCTTAGCTGCGCAGCAATGGCTTGGGGTCTCTTATGAGGTCTCAGTCAAGATGGCAGCCAGAGCTGTGGTTGTCCGAAGGTTTGGAGCCGGAGGACCCGGTTCCAGGCTGCCCCGCTCACGTGGCGCAGAGTGGCAAGCAGCCTCGGTTCCTCTCCACGTGGGCCGCCTCTGAGTGCTGCTTGAGTGTCCTCATGACGTAGTCGCTGGCTTCCTCCAGAGTAAACTCTCTGGAAGGGCAGGGCGGCGGCCGCTGTGCCCTTTGCCACCCGGCCTCGGAGATCACAAGCTGTCGCTCCCACAGCACCTTGTTGCTCTGCCGGGTCTGCCCCATTCGTTGAGGGGGGCTCTGACCAGGACATGCATGAGTAAGACGTGTGGATCACTTGGGTAAGTCACTTAGCCTCTCTTGGGCTGTCACACGAGAAGCCTTCCTCAAGGCGTGCTTAGGAGGGTTCAAGGAGATCGTGCGCAGTGGGTGCCAAGCATGAACGCCACTAGCTCTGACTGACCCTGTCTGTGGTGGTGTGTCCCCCTCAGGCTGCCAGGAAATAGCAGAGGAGTTCCGTGCCCAGGAGATCGATGGGCAAGCCCTGCTGCTGCTCAAGGAGGACCACCTGATGAGTGCTATGAACATCAAGCTGGGGCCTGCCCTGAAGATCTATGCTCGCATCAGCATGCTCAAGGACTCCTAGGGCTGGCAGGCGCAGCCAGGGTTCTGGCCCGGGGCTCCTCCTCCCGACTGAGCAGAGCCAGACAGACATTCCTGAGGGGCCCAGAAATGGGGCCAGTTGGAGGGAAGGGCTCTCCCTATGGGGCGTGGCTGGTGAGGAGGTCTTGGCACCCCCTCAATGGCTCTCAGGGGCCTTTCTCTCTGTGGGAGGGGCAGAGAGGTAGGTGGCGCAGAAGATGGGGCTTTATGCTTGTAAATATTGATAGCACTGGCTTCCTCCAAAGTCCCAATACTCTAGCCCCGCTCTCTTCCCCTCTCTCTGTCCCCCATTTTCCAGGGGGTATACGGTCAGGGCTCCCCAACCTGAGTTGGGTTACTTTCAAGGGCAGCTGTCAGGTCTGGATAGAGGCCTTGCAAGCCCTTGCCTGCCTTTCTCCCACTTCTTTTTCTGGGCCTGGCTAACTCTTCCGTTGCCGGCTTCTCCCCCCTTCAGCCCGTTTCTGAAGCAGCCAGGGGTTCTCCCCCTTCACCCTCCGCAGGTGGAGAGAGAGAAGCTGGGCCCGGTTTGGCCACGCCTGCTGGCACAGACGCCTTAACGCTGTGTGTGTGACTGGATGACTGTGTAGGAGCCTGGACTGGCAGGTGGGCCCAGAGCCACCCTCTGGCATCTCCAGGTGTTCTGTAGCAAACAGCCACTTAGTGCTTTGTCCTGGACTCCACTCAGCCTCAGGATGGGGAGTAGAACAGAAGGGCAGCCTCCGTGCAGAGAGGCGAGATCAGAAAGCAGCGAAGATCAGGAGTGGGCACGCTGTCTCCGAAGTCCTTCCCACACTGTGAAGTCCCCCCCCCCCCCGCCCAACTGCCCTGCTGTGCCACACACAGCATTAAGGGAGCTGCTGTGGGCCGGGCCGGGCCTGCCCACCTGCCCACCCGCCCTGGGAGCCCCAGAGTGGGGGCCCAGAGAACGTCTTGAGGGCAGAGAAGAGCCGGGGTGACGTTGTCGTGAAGAAGGCAGCCTTGGGCCTCCCGCGTCCACACTTCTTTGCCTCCCGAACTTGCTAGCAATTTGAGCTACCTGCGGAGGAGGCAGGGCAGGAAGGGCGAGGGCCTGCCTCTGACTTGCCCTGTCCCTGGAGGCTCCTGGGGGAAGAGCGGGAAGAAGGGGGGCACCTCTCTCAGCTTGTTCTATTCCCCACTCACACCCCCAGGCAGGGTTGGAAATGAAGGACTTTTTTAACCTTTTGTTTTTGTTTTTTTAAAAATAAATCTGTAAAATCTGTTTCTTCTGTGTCTTTCTCCACTGGCTCCTTCTCATCCAGAAGGAGAGGGATGGTTCCCTGGGCTGGGGGAAGGACGATCTCCTTAACTGGACAGCGTGCCCTCCACGCTTTGCTGGGACCAGGTCATCTGAGGGCGCCCTTAGCCCCATCGAGAAACGCAAGACATGGCCTCATTTTCCACAGGTGTCCCTTGGAATGAGAGCCTCCAGAGCCCCTCAGCTCTGAGCCCCACCCCCACCCCCTTCCCGCAGGGGAGACATGATACTGTTGGGCCAGGAATATCTGGAACACCTGGGGCAGAGCCCAGACTCTTCCATCCCCTTTGGTTGTTGCTGCTGGGCGGCTCAGTGCAGCCTCTGCAGCCCCTGCCCAAGTCCCTGAAACTCCTGCTCCTAGCCCTGGGGAAGGGAGTTGCTTCTTCCCTTCTCTGGGTTTTTCCTTACCCTGTTTGTTTATTTTTTTTAATGTTTTATTGTTATGTTAATCACCATACGTTACATCATTAGTTTTTGATGTAGTGTTCCATGATTGTGCATAACACCCAGTGCTCCACGCAGAATGTGCCCTCTTTAATACCCCTCGTTTGTTTATTTTTATTTATTTTTAAAGATTTTTATTTATTTGACAGAGACACCGCGAGAGAGGGAACACAAGCAGGGGGAGTGGGAGAGGGTTTCCCGCAGAGCAGGGAGCCCCGATCCCAGGACCCTGGGATCATGACCCGAGCCGGAGGCAGACACTTAACGCCCGAGCCACCCAGGTGCCCGTTTCTGCCTGTTTAAAACGTGCATTTGAGGCCCAGCCCACTGAATCAGTCTCCAGGGGTGGGGCCCAGGAAGATTAGGCACAATAACTTTGAGGAGTTTGATAACACTTCTCTGGAAAGCCAGTTAAATTGTAACTAGTACCTGGAGGAAGAGCAAAGGCCTGCCGATGATTCTGATTACCCAGAGGGCAGAGCCAGGACTGGAGGGGCTGCTGGGCCAGGGCCGGGGCCAGGGGCTGAGCCGCAGGGAAAGTGGGAGGGTGGGGCACCGCTGGGCAGGTGCCCTGAGGTCCCGGCGGGTCTGGGCAAGTCTCTGCACCCTGGATCCCCACCCCCGTTTTCCCGTCTGAGGAAAGTCAAAGCCAGGCCTCTCCTGAGTTTGTTCTTACACGTGTGGTGAGGGAGGAGGGCACCAAAACTCCTCCGAAGAGAGGATGTGGTGCAGTCGAGGGGACTGGCCCACACAGACAAATACCGGTGCCATTCTTTGTGTGTGAAGGGTGGTGCTCTAAATCCAGACAGATCTCCCCGCTTGTGAAAGCTCACCTTAGGCCACTTCACTTTTACAAAAGACCTACATGAGTCCCTGTTTTCACGGAGCAAAACAAATCCCAAGAGGGTTTTTGCTTTTCTGGAAAAAGGCAAAAAGTGCAAATAGCTTGTTCAGCGTCTGTTCGGCAGCAAGCCGCCAATGGAAGCCCCCGACCCCCTCCCGCCCCACCCCAGGCTCTATCTACGTTTATTTGTGCTATCTGTTAGCAAGGTGTGTCCTAAGGTAGCAGAAAAACCTAAGACGGGTTACTTTTGGGTCTGGGAACGCTGAAAAAACTTTCCATATAAATTAACGATTAAATTAAATTAAACCGTCTTTGCTTTACATCTTTTCTGCTTATGGAAGTTTTCACAAAGAACACTCTTCTTTCAGAGACCAGGAAAACCTGTATTTGTTCCTGTTGTTTACACTTTACAGAGAATTTTGCAGACCTTTTTTTGATCACGAGCCACCATTTAAAAAAAGTTTCCCACTCTCATACACACTTAAATATAGATATCTGAAGCAATAATTTCACAAAACAATACCTACCCTTATGTACATTCTGGTATTTTCAGTTCTCTTCCTGTTCATACGTTTTAAATCTTGGTCACAATCCATGATCCACAAAACATTTCTGAGAGCTCACAACCTGCACTTTTTTAAAAACCCTGCCCAGTGTAAACCTTAGAGAATGGTTTCATATCCTCTATCTTGTGCGGCTCTTACACTGTCCTGGGCAACTGGTGCATGTACCCCATTCCATGGTGAGTTCCCCAAGGTCACACTCAGGCAACCAGTGCCCTTGAGATCTGGCTGAAGCTCCGTGCAGAACAGGGTTTTCCCTGGATGGCAAACACTGCAGCCTGACCCCCACACCCTTCCCAGGGCTCCAAGACGCTGAAGAAGAGCCCCCGCACCCTTGCACAAGTAAGAGAAATCAATACGAAATAGCTCAGAGCCTCCGGCCAACCAGAGCTAGCTGGCCTTACTCAGATCCACCTTCTTCCAGGTGATTGGCCCCGAAGGGGCTCCGGGCCCCCACCCCATCCTGGGGCCAGCTTCCTCCAGCAGGCACCGCCCCCAAGGGAGTCCCTCTTGGGGCAGGTCATCTCTGCCTGCCCCTGTGGGTGTGGTTTCTGACAGATGGCCTGGAGCTGCTTTGTCCCAGTCAACAGGAACTGGTCATTTCTTCCCTGGCTCCGAGCTCAAGGGCTCTTCTTGGCTGGCTGTCTTACCAGCTTCTCGACATGGCTCTCAAGGAGAGACTCAGGTGAGTTGGGGACACTGCCAGTGTGTCGGGGGAAGGGGAGGGGACAGCTGACCTGGGAGGAGTCCAGCCTGGTGGCCAGAACAGTCAGGGAGGAGGCATGAGAGCTGGCCTGTTGAGTACCAGCTGAGCCATGTTGATCCTGGGAGAAGGGGGACTCTGAAAGAGGAGGACATCACTCAAGGGGTAGAGATGGTCCATGGAGCAGAGTGGGGTGGAGGGAGACGGCATCCTAGGAGATCTTGTGGATCTTGTCGAGAGCTGGGTGACTCCTCTTGCTGTCCTTAACTCCGAGCCCCCTTGGTGAGCGAGAGAAAGAAGACCTCGGGCTGTGTCCTCCACCATAGCTGAGAGCTCTCTCTCCTCCCACTGGGACTGACCATCCAGGATTGAAACTTGTTCCCCCTTAAGAACTAATGATTGATCTTCAACCCGTTCTTGAAAGCCAGCAGGCTGTAGGGGACAGAGCATGGGGTGGGCTTCAAGGACCACCTTCTGGAGGTGGAGGTGGGGTGGAGGGGGTGCTTTTGAAAATAGCTGAACAAGGCATGTGGAAGAATGGGTCAGGCAGAGGCCGCTGTGGACGAAGGGCTCCCGAGCGGGGGCCTGTGAGGGGGCAGCAATAGTGGGCAGGTACCTACCACGGGCCTACATCCGGGTGTCCTCCAAGCCCTCACCTGGGCCACCTGGGGCCAGCTCCGCCTGGCTGCCCTGGCTGAGGCCCAGTGCCCAAGATAAGCATCAGCTTTCCCCACCCAGCTTGGGGGCGGGGGGGGGCTGGCTAAGAGGGTCAAGACAGCTGGGGGCTGAGAGAGGGACTCCAGCTTTTTCCTGCCCCTGTAGCACAGACGGGTGGTGCTTCCGGAGGGGCCCTCTGGGGGTAGTACTGCAGCCCGTCCTCCGGGAGCCGGTGTGGCGTGGTCGCTGCAAGGGAGAGAAAGCTGCCTGTGGGAGACACTGGCGGGGAGCGTGAGGTGCCTTGGGGGAATGACATGGCCAAAGACCCTTGGGAGATGAGCCTGAGGCTCAGGGCTGGGCTGGGGCCAGGTCGTAAGGAGCCTCCAATGCCATGTTCTGGCTTGGGGATCAGACCTCAGTTCAAACCTCCGTTCTGCGGCATAACCAGCTGTGTGACCCTGAGCAAGTGATTTAATGCTTCTGAACCTGTTTCCTCATAAGGTGGAGACAATCACGGCATCTCCTTCAAGGGCCTGTGGGCAGACCTCCATGAGATAGGGACATAAAACACTCGGCAGGCAGAGGGTCGGCCTCGTAAATGTCCGGCATTATTCGTAAAGAGTGTAGACTATTCATGAAAGCAAACAGTCTTGAGAGTCACAGCTGGGGAAAGAGAATGAAGACAAGAAAACCATTCATTGCTTCATTGGTTTACTGAACAAACCATCATTAATACCACCAACTACAAGGCAGGCTCTCAGGTTTGGCACCGAGAACACAAAGCCCAAGAAAACAGACCCCCACCGCCTGGTGGGGCAGAGGTACGGTCTAGTTGGGCGTGTGCCGGAGGAGAGGTTTGCACGGGTCCAAGGGACACCTGGCGGCAGGTGTTGGGGGGGCGTCGAGGAAGGCGTCAGTCACAAGGAGCCCAGGTATTGAAGTATATTATCTGGAGCTTGGTGGTGGTTGGTCGGCAAATAAGGGCAAACATACAGAGGTGGGGGAAGACACAAAGTCAAGTCAGACACAGGAATCCAGGTGAGAAGCAGTGAGGCGGGAATGGCTCTGTGCGGTGGGGACAAGGGAGCTTGGGGCTCTGGCGGGGAGGCAGAAGCAAGAAGACTCAGTAGACTGACAGCTATGAGGGGAGGGGAAGGGGCCCCACTCGGGTCACTGGGACCAGTCACAGAGAACACAGGACATCATGATGTCATTTACCAAGATGGAGGAGACCTGAGTGGGGAGCAGGTTTCTGAGGAAAATCAAGAGCTCCGTTTTGGCCATTAAATGTGAGACGCTTGGGAGACATCCAAGTGGAGAGAGCGGGTGGCACCAATCCCCCCAGGTGTCCTCTGTCACTGTACTCGTGATGCCCGGAACCAGAGGCCCTGGGCAGTGCGATGTGGCCCCACCCCAGGTCCAGGAGGAAACTCTGGTCGAGGGTGTGGTTTAAGACGACTTTTGGTCTTTTCCCTGCGTGCCCAGCGCAGAACTCTTCGAAAGGTTGGCATTTCCTGAGTGATTGGAATGTCTTTTGTTATTCCTAATAAGCCCCCATCACAGCTGAGTTTATGCTAATGAGGTGACTTGAGTTGCCCGCCCCCCCCCCATAGCGTCGGGATGGGGCTAATCGCCAGAAAGACCCCGTGATCAGAGGCTGGGAACTTTCAGCCCCACCCCCAACCTCTTGGACATTGGTGTTGAGAAAGTTTCCAGGTTGGCGAATGCATCCAAATGCTGGGAGGGTGGCGCCCTGCAACTGCAGGGGGCATAGACCCTCCTGAGCTCTGGACCCTTCTGGACGCCCCTCTACGCAGTCCTGGATCGGGGTCTCCATAAATAAACCAGGAAATGGAAGGAAACTGCCTCCCTGAGCTACGTGAGCTGTTCTGTGAGCAAATTAATGGAACGCGAGGAGGGGGCTGTGGGAACCCCTGAGTTAAAGTCAATGAGCCACAAGTAGGGGTAGCCCACAGGGTGACTAGAACAAAAGGGGAAGCTGGACGAGAGACGAGTGTGAAGAAACAGACATTATTTTCTTCTGTTAGACAACATTAAAAAAACAAAATTCAGCCGAGTACATTTGAAGACCGAGTGGGCTTTCTTTAATGATTCATGAATCGGGCAGCATCTCAGCAGACAGACAGGAGCTCTGTGGAGCTGTACAAAATGGCAGGCTTTTATAGGCAGGAGGGGATGGAGGAAAGGAAGCTTCTAGCAAAGAGTGGACTGTTTCAGGCAAGGTCACTTTCCTTTGGGGGAAGGCAGGGTTTCATCAGGCAGAAGACACTAGTGCTGACAAGGTAATTCCAGCCTGACTGGTTAAAAGATACGTTCCTGTGGGAAGTTGGAACTGCAGTTACGTTAGGTACCGAGGCGTGGTTGGCTGACGGGACTGAGTGTGAGTGGCTCCAGGTGGGGCCCGTCGTTTCTTTTGTCACCGTTCCCCCTCCTTTTGATCAGATTCTCCGTTTGAGAGGAGCGCCACTCCAGCCGTCCCTGCGAAGCTCCCCCACTCCTGCTGCTCCTCTGTGTGGTGCTCGCAGGTCATGACTTCAGGCTCGCGTGTGTTAAGTTAGACATTCACTCCATTCCCTTCTTGATGCTCCAGTCTCAGGGAGAGCATTCGCTTGGTGGTTAGGGGCGTCGAACGTGCATTTAAAGCTTCTGAGAGAGGACAGGGCCCCAGGATTCCTCCTGTGGCTCTTATCAGCAGGACACTTCTCTCTGTTTAGAGAGCACTCAGGAGCCACGGGTCCCAAGACCCAAATCCATCAAAACCAAATAAGGCAAAGACCGACCCCATGGAAGGAGTCACCTTTTTAAGCCAGCTGGCTTGCTCAGCACTCTTCTGGAACTGAGTTTCAACTTCCCTAGAAGTGTTCATCCCAGTGCAGCAGGGGGTACTGACCACAGCCCAGACTCCTCTGTGTTCGGCTCAAAGTTCATTAGGGGCTGTCCTAATATCAAAAACAGCTCAGGCAGGGCGCCTGGGTGGCTCAGTCGGTTGAGCGTCTGCCTTCGGCTCGGGTCCTGATCCCAGGGCCCTGGGATGGAGTCCCGCATCCGGCTCCTTGCTTCTCCCTCTGCCTCTGCCCTCCACCCCCCACCCCACCCCCGCCCCGCTCCCTCTCTCTCTCTCTCTCTTTCGCTCTCTCTGCTCTCTCTCTGTCTGGCAAATAAATGAATAAAATCTTAAAGACAAAAACAACTCTGGCCAGAGAGTCTAAGGATTTTCACTGTGTGTCTGTTGCTTCAGCACTGGATTTTTGCCACACTTTCAAGAGTTAAGGAGAGTGTCCTGATCACAGCCTCATTTGTATTCACTCCTAACCAGGGAGTTAGGGACCTGCCAAAGGAAGCAAATCCTGAATCACAAAAGCCGCCTGGTAGGTCCTTTCTAACTTGACGTTGTAAATTTAGGGGAACTGACCGATGGGGTGTCTGGGTTTGTCTGTGACAGTCAGGGGCACAGTTAGCTAACCCTCTTAGATAAGAGGCACTGCCCCTCTAGGCATTCAAAGGCCCAAAGAGGATGAAAGCCACTACAAAGACAGACCCTGTCTGCCCCGCGAAGGTGGCATTGTGAATGGACGCTGCCTTCATGGTCAGATCGGAGTTTTTTAAAGACAAATTTAGAAGTCTGAAAGGTTACCTCCCTTCAGCAATGGCCCAGGACATACAGATGAAGGTGTCACCTTTCCAGGCCAATGCTAGAATAAAGGAAAGAAAGAAAAGAAGTAAGGGTTTTAGCCTTAAAGTAGGAAGTCTCTATCTGGTGCTTTGGGCGGCAGCCGTCTACCTGGATGTCAGATATTTCTCTTCCTCGCCCGTTGATGTGGAGGTCTCTGGCATCTGCACAGGATGGCAGGACACGTGCAACCTTCTTTAGCTGCGAGATGTGGACCCAAGGTTCAAGTCCCTGATGTTTCGCTGCCATCAGGGTGGTGAGGAGGACCTGGAATAGTCCCTTCCAAGGAGATTCAGGGCATTCTTTGGGCTCGGTGACTCCCAAGTCAGAAGGGCGGAAGAAACTTGGAAACAATTCTTTCGGAGAGTTGTAGCCAGATATTTGAAGAAACTAGAAGAATTCAGGATCTAATTCTGTGTATAGGCATTTAACAGAAACTCAAAGACAATAAACAGGATTAGAATCTAATATCTACAAAGTGCAAACAGAATTTTTCTCTCTACAATTACCCCTATTTGCCAGATATAATCACAGTAAAACTAATCTGTTTGCGTTAAGTTGGCCTGATTATTTACATAAGTGCAGTAAGAATAGTGGTTGACCATACAAGCCCATCTTAAGACTGCTTTGCTGA